CAAAAAAAAAAAAAAAAAACAACTAACCTAAACAAAGAGCATGTAAATTGTGTGCAAAAATGGGAAACTACTTTGGTGTTTGATTTGCTTGTTGATGGAATTAATTCAGTAACTAAAAAGAGCTGAGCAATCGATACTAGCATATTGGCCTAGAAAACATTAATCTCTGAATTATTTTAAAAAATAATCATATGTTGGTCCTTTTCTAAAGATTCAGTAACATGTTGACCTCCTGGTAATTTTCCAGGAAACAGAAAAAATCGATGTTATTTGGCTCAATGACATGCCTTCTGGATACTTTTCTTGTTTTGTCAGGATGTTGGTTTGTGGTTGGAAGAAATAAATCTTGGTAGCTATCGACAAATTTTCAAAGAAAATGGTGTTAATGGAGAGTACTTGGAGGGGATGTCCATGTTTACGACGGAGCAGATACTTCGGTTTATAAGACGGTGCCACATGAAATGGGGGGACTTCATAACACTGTGCAAGGAGCTGAGGCGGATTAAAGGTCTTTCCCTCTCTTAAGTTTGCCCTTTGATCACCATGTCATTCAGTGGCTACTCTGTTGTTTTCCAAAAATGTGTTCAATTGCCTGCTGCTTCCTTGAAGTACTAATCTTGCTATGTTGATAATCTTCCTTATCTAGTGTTAGTAAGATATGGAATGATTTTGAGTCCGTATTCACTATCTTTCACCACAAATAAGGTGGGTGGACCATTCTTAATCTGCTGGGTGTCATAGAATTATATCAGTTTTCTTTCTTGATGAACGGTTGTGTTTTTTTGTCTTGTGGTGTATGAAGTACAAAGGAAAGTCATAGAAACAATGACCTCTAATGATGTTACATAGTTGCCCTAAAATGCAACCATTGTTGTTACTTTGCTTATAAGGCCACTGTTTTATTACCACATGCCAGGCACATCCACACGTGCTTCATTGTTATTGCACATCAAGTATATCATCATGGTTATGCATGCGATGTTTGATGGCTTTATGAGTTCATCTCATGAGACTCAACTTTTTCGGGCTAATATCTTGTAATGTTCAAATGCTTGAGGATATTGCCGACCAGGTTTAGGGTCACAGTTTTGCGTTCCTATGTTAACTTCACTTTGTACCTGAAGTGTCAGATATGGAATTGAAAACACATAATCTTGGTGACAGTATGTAGTGCCTCCTTTGTGTTTGTATCCATATATTTCAGTTGCTATGTTAATTTAAGTTGTATTTACTAGTTTCAACCGTTGCTGCAGTGGCTTGCTTAAAAGGGGAACAAAAAGTCCGCCGGCCATGGTGGGCCCCATCTTTCCTCTCCGTACTGTTCGTCAAGGTGACAAAGCGCAACAGGAACTGTAGAGTGGTTTCTTTGAAGCTAGAACCTTGATGTAAGATTTGCGTTATACGTGCTTATAGTTTTCTTTTGTTTTCAGAGGAAAATGGGATGGTAAGGGAAGAACTTTTGCTTTTTTTTGTTTTTCTGTCTTCAAATCTGGTAAGGTGTTGCTGTTTGTTCTTCTTTGGAGAACTCCCTTTATGTGCAAGCCCTCTATATATATTTGTGTCTAGTTGATTTTGTAAATGTTGCCCGTCTCCAAAATTATTCGTTGATGGGCACTTGTGCCTTCAATTTGTGGGGATGAATGTATAAGAAATGATAAAAAAAAAAAATGATGATGGTTGTGCTACATTTGAGTTTACTAAGGCATTAACAAAGAACTACTACTTAATGTAAAAAGTGGATTTGCCCATAGAATGGCCCTCATTTCAATTTGTTCGTCCAAGTTTAGTGTGACGTGGTTTTAACTTAGATTCAATTTTTTCATTAACATTAGCATCGGAAAAAATCCAAGGCGTTTGTTTTAATTTGATCCCTCAACTTTGATTTGTGTTGTTTTTCATCGGATGTAACTATGAATTCGGAAGAGGTTAGGTTAATCAATACAACTTAATTAATTCGATATGTGGTTTAAAATTTTCATATTTTGTTTGTGTTTTGTGGACCAGGATAAACCCCAGATCCATTTTGTGAGGCCCATGTGAACCGGAGAAATAATTCTGCCTAGATGGGTAGATCTTGCAAATAGGGAGGGTGAGATAAAAATTGGGGTTTTTTTTTTTTTTTTTT